CTATTAAAAACGGGACCTCAGCTGCACAAGGATGGATAGAATTACAGCATAGAGGGTCCTCCAGAAACTGATTACTACGATGCTACTGAATCATCGATCAAATCATCAAAACTAAATAACCAGTAGTATCACTTCTAGGGACTACCACATATAATTTATCTGAGGAAACCTTAAACGTTTGACAGAATCCTATCATCACTCCGTCTAACCTGCAGCAATACTTTCAGCGAAAATCAAAGGCACCCAAACAGATGACTTAGAAGCAATAGCATCTGCCAATCTCACAGCATAAAATACACCATTTGGACAGAAGCCAGCAGAAGAAGTCTTAGAACAATTATTCAACAGGAAAGAACACCTTCAAACATACTCAGAATGCAAAACTCAAGTTGAAAATAATGAATAAGCCTATGTTTAACAAAGTATTTTTTATTTCAAAACGATTTAAAGGGACACCTATGCGATTTCTCCTGTCAGAAATGATTGCAGAAGCTGTTGTGCAAGAAGTTGAAAACATAATCCCACTAAAGATTGACCTAGAAATTCGGATCTGTCACGTGGGTGACACATTCTTAATAACTCATAGAAACGACTCAAACAACCCTCACAACTTAACAAACAACTTCCTGGACGAAATCTAATTCACAAAAGAAGTGGTATATGAATCCATTTAGTTAGCCTGCTTGAATGAATTTGAACTCGTTTCCAGTTGCTTATGACCCAATCTCACGCTCACGACTGATATGTGACTATCAATCCTGTTGCCATGAACTCTAGCTTCTTGGCTCGGCTGTTCATAACACTGCCGCAGGTAGCGAAAGCAGAATATAACAGTTAAGGCTGCTGAAAGACGTATTTGTTGACGATTAGTTGAAGAGAGTGAGCAGGTAAATAATCACACCGAAACGGCACCATCTAGCTCTTGTCCCTTAAAAATGTTTACTGTCCACTATGTGCTTCTATCTGCAAGGATAAATAATTTGATTATTGACTATGAAATGGTTGAATTTCAGCAAGTTGACGAGATTCTTTGAACCCGTACAGTGTAACACGAGTTCAGAATTCAATTTCTGGACATTTTAGTAAGGCTAACAACCACAAGAAAATGTGAAACACAAGAATGCAATACTTAACAACAACTGCAACTGCCCAACAATACACGAAAACAGTTGCATGAAAACACTAACCAAGAGAGCTGAGATGCGTCGCAACACTTCTAACTTGAGGATAACTGGAGAAAAATGTTTTGCAGACGTCTTCCAAAGAGTGGATACCCAAGAAACTTTATCAACAGACATCTACCCGTAATCTAATTAACCTAAAACAAGCCTCTAATGAAAACCAAACCATATATGTATAAAGAAAATCACCGAAGTCACTGCAAGACTGTTCAGGCCTTTTGACAGTGGTTCCTCCCACAAACCAGCAAAATCACTTCACTGGCTTTGAATTAACCAAAAGTCTCAACAGTGAAAGAAGACAAAACCAGTATCATCTGCGAAGCAAATTGTAACGGGTGTAGAAAACACTATATTCGTCAAAGCGAATGACCTCTTCGTATCCACCAATACAAACTAGCCGTGGAAAGACACGACATGCACTCACTCACGTCGTTACACATAGACAATTATGGACGCCAAATCGACCGGGACAGTGTTTTAATCTCAGATAGAGGAAACGCTAAAATACTCCGGGGAATCTCTGGCAGCTTGTTTTTCATTCGAATGGGCAATCAGTAGGAACAGTGGCGAAGACAAGAGTTACCAATCCATGAGAGGGAAATTATGTGAACCAAAGGTCAACCTTCATGTCATAGAAACAATCAACACCAATAAAAGTGGAGCAGCGGTTGAGAAAACACACAGAAGCAAATAATCATGTTCGAAATTACTACATGGGATACATAGTGAACCCACTGAGAATTTCACAATGTCGGTTCATACTGAAGTATGGTTCAGAGATGTCTTCTGAGACTATGAGAGCCTAAACTATGCCAACCAGAGGACATATCTTCACTGAAATCACTTGATTTCATCTTCGGAGTTACATTAATGCATACTGTCATCTTAATAAAAGCAGACGAGTGTGGGATGAAAGTGCGAACCAAACGAGGAATGTGGGTTACTTTAGGATTCGTTTGACGCGCCAGATATCCCCTTTAGATGAACACATGTCGACGTAGCAAAGGACGTCGAACGACAGCGGTTATTATCCAGGCAGACTTCTTTTGACGGGGAATCTTTTGAAGAGATGATAGGATGCTCAACTACGGAACGTTCACCAAACCCATTAAAGGCTTGGCTTCCATTCTCGGCCTACGTACTGCTAGACCCCATCTGCTTTACTGGCTGATGGAAACCTCACAAAAAAGGGAAGTTAGAGTTTGTTGTTATGCCCAACGTGTAGTTATAATTTGGAAGTACAGAGTGAAAGATATATGTCGCAGTGCCATAAACAGTGTTCCAAAGTGACAGAAATCCGAGAGGAACTGGGCATCAGGTATGATTCTAACTGAAGGGTTATTTTTCAAATGACATAAATTGGCAGCACCTGAAAGTAATACCACAAAACCATATATAAAGATGCCTAAAAGCAAGAAGAGCGAGACTCGATCATCTTATGGTTCTCAGGTTATCTAGATGGAAGGGAATCCCGCATAAGAGTCACTTGCCCCCTCGGATTATAATTCGGGGACCTTTATGTTTTTTAAACTTATCAATAACCTGAAATACACGCCTGAGTGACCAGCTTCTTTTAAAGCTAACGATGTAAAGATCTTGGGAGAGAAAAGTGTCCGGAAGACTGAAGAGAGGTCAGTGGGGTGTCTTCGAGCATTCAGCCACGCATCCCGACAATGCAACTTGTTAAAACAAGTGAAACAAGTTGTACCACACAGCGCCATTGTGAGATTTAGGTCCCTATCTAGCGGAAGAAAGGGCTCTACATGACGTCTCCCAGTACGCAGTTTGTTCCACAAGAAGCTCTGAATATTCGACAGCCAGCGGTTTCTCATGTATGTTGCGGAATAATAATAATGAGGGTTGACGGAGGGAAGATTCCGCCCCAGTTTTGCGAAGCCTTAAGTCGCCCTTATCAGTGAGTTTTGAAAGGCAGCCTATACCCACCTCCTTCGTCAGCATTTTCCACGATAGTTGCATAAATATGTCCTCCTAGTTCTCTTGATCTCTCCACGCCGCTTCTGAAGATTTCGCCCAGGGTTTCAGCAATATCCTGATTTCCAATTACTTAATGAAATTCTGGTTTCTGTAGGTTTCTTATCAGCTGCTACTTCCGTTTGCAGTGGTGGTATTTTTGAGGGAGTTCTAGGTAGTGGTCGTTTCAAGATTCCTTTAAAACAACCGGCTAATAGTTCCCTTTGTCTCTATAGTATTTGGGTTCTACTAAGTATCATTCACTGGTTTCATCTGCGCAAATCTCTCCTTGAGCAGCAACCTGATCATGTGACATGGCACTCTAAGGTCTCTCTTGCCTGAAACCTGTCCTGTTTCATTTGTCAGTGTCTCGTAAGACCGCATTTCGTCCTTCCAAGGACAGTTTTTACCCCTTCGTTCAGTGCTCTGTATATTCAATTCACTTTCTCCTTTCTCTGTTCATCTTTGCACTGGTCCATTTTGTGCAACACCATCTCTCTTTTCTCTATCGTATTCCAGGTGTCTGTAGTGAGTAATCCCCTATCTTGTCTCTCGCTCTTGCCTAAAACGACAGTATAGGTTTGTTGACATAGTGTTTCAAAGAGTTTGAATGTGGTCCTAGGCTTTTTTCTGGGTATTTTTTATTAGTGTCTCTGACGTTTTCCCAATGACTGACGTGAGAGTGCTCTTTTTGGTTTTATCCTTAAGTTTCTTGATGGTGGACTTAAGTCGTGGTCTTCCGCTTCTTTTCAGATTTCAAACATGAAATTAAGGGTGGCATACACCAATTAATGGTCTGAGCCCATATCTACTGATCTTCTTAATTTTGTTTTCAGCAAACTACGTTTCCACTTTCTTGAGGCTGAGGCAAAATCTGTTTGATTTTGAGTGTGTCTACTAGGTGAAATCCATGTCGCTTAGTGTGTTTCCCCGTGCAAGTTGTATCCAATCACGAAATCACTGAGGGCGAAGAAGTCTGCAAATATTTCTCATTCATTTAACCAGGCGACCATTGAGGCGTGATAAACTTCGCTTATGTGTTGTCTATTTCTCTTCTGCCTGGATGCAATATCACCTAATGAAATTCTAAGGTAGTCATTTGAGTGGGTCTTATCTATGTTTGCAGCTATCTGTTAGAATACTCCTGATTTTCCACTGGGTCTGTGTAGTATGTAGTCGAGTAGCACCATGTAACTACAGCCTCCCTTCTGAGTTGAATTTCGGTGCTATGAAATCGGTTCCCACTGCGTCAGAACCTTAGAGGATTTTGATGACATCGTAATGATCATCTCATAATTGTGCTCATGGATATCATTTCGGTGACCAAATTGCATTATTGACTCTCCAGTTGACTCTTCTTAGAACCCACTTCATTTGTATTTGTCCTTGTGGATTCCTGATACTTGTGCAGCATGACTTATAATTTCTTCTACAATCTGATGTGGGCAGACTTAACAGGCTCATACATGGTGCGGACATTTAACGTCGCTATGGCTACCTTGTTTTCATAGAGGGACGTATCAGTAGACTTTCTTCTCGAGGACTTTAGATATCTGGTCTCATCCATCACGCAAATGTGAAGATCTATGGGTTTTCGCGAAGAATCTGTTCATTTTCTCTGCTTTTTGAAGTTTCATTAGCTATGGGTTTGTTTTTTACAGTGTAGCACTGGCTTCACACCTAAATTCCTTCTTTTCGGCCTTAACACTAACTGTTTAACTAGGCAGGGTTGACTGGTTGGTCACAAAAGGTTGAGAATGAAACTGGAGTCTTTGCTAATTCTTTACAGGTGGATATTGAATGACCGCAAGTTTTAATGATGAACTATTATGCCGACATTTTGAAAAGATGTTAATTATTCGTGGATTGGCGCTCATATTATCTTTCCTTTTATTTTCAGCCATAGTTTTCTTCTGTCTACCAGTCAAAAATGTTTTTCTATGGCACCCAATTCTTATGTGTTCTGGATTTCTCGTCGCTATGCTCAATGGTATACATATATTGAGTAGAGATTCCTTCGCATTTTTGACGAGCAAGTCCAAAAGGGTATGCATTTTTCTCTACTTAGAATCTTTCAATCGATGAGCTAAACAGTTTTATGGGTGAATGACTGTTGATGCAAAAAAGCTTATTTGTACATGTAGTTGCTGATGCAATTACTACTTTAATTTGGTTACTTAGAAGAAAGCACCACACGTCAAAAGATCTCCCTTTCCTCATTCTCTGAAGTTAAATTCTTATGAATTCATAAGAATGATTCCGGATATGCAGGTTAACCTGCAGACTTGTTTATGCATCGGGTCTTGACTTTGTTGCATATTTCTGTCAGAATGGACAACATCTTAAATCTTATCTTTTTATCAGGCAGTGTCGGCCAAACTGATTTCTTTGTCCTCCCTTCTTTGTCGTAAAGCAAAAGGTCTTGATCTTCGATAAACTTCTGAATAGTGTATCCGTCTTCTCGACTGCCGAAGCTTTGTTTGCCTCCAATGGGAGTGATGCGGAAAATATTATATATGTGTATATATATGTAATTTTAAAACATTCTGTGACAGCAGTTCTCAAAAACATACAGTACACCATTTATTCGCTGGTTGGCCAAACATACTAAACTTAGGTGTATTCTCTATGAATCAGTGTGAGGGTCTTACTTCGAAAATTTCCTCTACTGGAGATCTAGTGTGTACTTGAAGACACTTCCAAGACGCGTTTAACAGCAGAAAGTAAACTATTCATTTTTGAATATCTAAGAGTTGGTAATCCCATCTTCAGGAATAGCTATAAATAGTTGACAAGTGGATATTTGCACGTCATTGTCCTAACGGAAACAAACGTTTTATTTTCTTTGTTTGCTAAGTGAATTACTTAGTGGATTGGCACCATGTCTTCGTCTACCATTTAGATTCTTTACCAACTCAACTCGACCTCAGTTAACATCCTTAGTCAAGATAGGTGGTTTTGGTGTTTATAAGACATGTTCTTGTCTTAATTGGTAGAGATTCACACTTCATCTATTGACTTCCATTTTTCCCAAAGCTATAACTAATCTCATTATTGCTAACCTTTAAGATCTACATAAGATGGTTACCCATAGTCAAAGGTCTCTAATTTTTTCACATTTCCTATCTTCACTGGAGATATTTTACAACCATAGAGTATGATAGAACGAATTGCTGCATAGTGTATGCCTTTTTTATCGAGTGGCTAAATGTTATGGCTGCATTAAACATGATGTGAGGTGTCAAATGCTAAACGAGCTTTTCGTGTCCGTGATAAAAGTTCGATAACAATCAGAGCGTTAGGGTTGATGTGATTTCTTAAATGATTGGATTGGTTTATATATACAACCATTCTCCTTCTTATAATTAACTGAGAATATTTGTAGACTAGTCTTGCAGTATCATTAATTTAGCAGGCATGCAACGTATGCCAGATATACTCATATCTTTGCATGATGTGATTATCGATCTACAGAAGTGTGACAAGACTACCCGTGATTCCTGTTAGTCTAGCAATTAGTTCAACACTTCTATAGTCATACCTTCATATCCTACTACTTCACCTCTATTAAGTTTAGAGACGTCTTTCACAACCTTCTGAAGAGTTGGGGGGCACATTATTTTCTGGGCAAGACGACTATAAGTCTTAGTTTAAAAATGACTTTAGAAAAACATTCAGTGCCAAGTACTGAAAAAATAACTAAGTCGGTGGTCGTCTAGTTGCCTCTTAACTGAGTTCTGTGCTTTATTTTTTAATCAAGCTGCTTTATACTCAAATAATCAGAAGCATATATATATATATGAATTTGATGTTTTATGTAAAGTCCAATTATTTCACTACTTATTACGGTGATATCCCCGTGAATATTTTCTGATTTAAATTCATGCTAACAAAGTCAAATCGCCATCTGAGAGTTGATTCGCTTCCGGCATCGAAGAGCTAGTAATCATCATCACACACTGTTGCACAGCTTAAGTCATGTATAACAGATAATTTGTATTGTGTATTGAATATCTCAATATAATGTACCTTACAGTTTAAATTAATTCTTTTCGAAAATGTGTTTTCATAACGTTTGCTAATAATTACTATTTTTGAAAATTTTAGATAAAAGCTCACTGGATATTTGAGTCCCTTGCAGCAGTGCTTCTCTTCCTTGGTTTTATTGCAATCTATGCTAATAAAGTACTAAATGGCAAACCACATTTTACTACATGGCACGGTTTATTAGGTCTGTTTACAGTAATATACTGCATTTCCCAACTTCTGTTCGGTTTTGTTTTCCACTGGAACTATAATTTGTGGCGAAGTATACTAACTTACAGTACTGGAAGATTTCTCCATGCTGTATCTGGAACTGTATTATACTGTTTAGTATCGCTTACTTTCATACTTGGATTATATACAAATTGGTTCCAATCAAATATTGCTCTTTTTTTCGGTTCGAATAACACTACAGTCCTGTATTCATGTTTATTGATAGTTTGTTTAGGAGTTCTTAGCGTTTTTTTTCAAATTGTAGTAAAGTATAACAATTTTATTCAACTGAAATTATCTACCTCGCGAACATAAACATTATATATGAAACTATTTTAAATGGGGTTTTCGCAATTCTAGCATTTATTCGCCTTACTTTCTTTACTTTAATACACTGTCTTATCTCATAAGTGACTACAGAAGTGCCTTATAAGTACTTTTTCTGTGTGTTTATTTTCTATTTAAAATTCCAAATATCTTTTTAATCTTTTATTTACCTTCTATAATATGCCAAATAAATAATTTCGCAATGCATAACTTACAATGAATTTAATTTTTAATTTGATTCAGGGAATACAATTTTACTCAAAATGAACTAATAATAAGCGCAGGAATAAAATACTGTGTTTAATAGATAAATTGTACGTAGCAGATATTAAAATTAAAAATTTTCCTTTTGAATCAGAAGATTGGATTTCGAGTTATTAGACTTTGTCGAATAGGTCCTTCGATCTCGATTCCACTGCTTCCCTAAAAGCAGAAAAAATAGAAATGTTAAGAGGTGTTAGTTTGGCACTATTAGAACATTGGTGGTGTGTTTCTTATTCTCAGATAAACATTGTTAAACATGAATGGTTGTTGGAAAACAATGGATACCCAGAAGTGAAGAGGGACTCTTAGAAGAACTTTTCGTTTTTCATTTTCCTGTCACAAGTGGCGTGACTTTGCATATTATATGGTGTAGTAATAAATGGTTTCTCCTAATCAATTTCTCTTAATTTTATCTAGTCTTGAAAATGGAACATCCAGGTCTCCTAGTCTTCTATTTCTGCGTTCTGTTGAAGCCTATCCTTTCTGTCAGTCCGCAAGAAGGATATTCTTTGCAATAAATTCTCTTCAGATACTTTCAGTTATAAAACATAGTATTTATTGATACAATACCAGCCAGGTACACGACAGAAATATTTTTACGTAGAATGACAGATTCATTACGCGCGACAAAACAAACAGCATTTGTTTGGTAAACGTGCTGAACTGAATGCAGTTACAAAATATTGTGAATTGAGAGACGATGATGGTAATTAGTTATGATAAGTTCGGAAAATATGGAAGGAGAATTGACAAGTCAGTTCAAGGTTATAGGAGGTGTCAGGTAGGAGGCTGGTACAAAATAGTATGCAGTGAATAGGAGATATTAAGATCGCGGTGAATAGTTCGTCATGAAATAATCAGTATGTGAAACGAAATAGGTGGCGTCATGTATTCAGAAAAGAGATAATATCACTAATAATAAGTCAGAATAGCGTAAATTGAGAATTCGATAGTACTGAAAGAATGTTAGTTTGAACAGCATGAATTATAAGACATTGCGGTTAAAATTGTTAGGACGATGATAAGCGGAACCAAAATAAGAGATAAGGGGAAATGCACTGTTGGAGGGGATAAAAATTTTAGTCCGGGTTTTGCCACGGTCGGAACAGAAACTGAACGTTTTGTTTTTGAATAAAAAGTCCCGGTTTAGTTGATCTTATAGCAACAGATTTAGCTATATATGAAAGACGTAGGGGGGTGACAGCATTTTTAATCAGTTCTTAATGCGGTAATGAATATCATCGTCGATTTACACCTGTATACAGTGAATGATCGTGTGTTCTGAAGTCAATTGTTGGTTAATCTTAAATTGAAAAAGCTGATTAAGACCTTCTGACAGAATTATTGCATTGAGGTTAACGAGATAATCCATTTATTTCAGCTTAATGTTTTGCACAGTTCAGAGAAAGTTATCCCAAGTATTAGTTACGAGACATTTATGCTCATTAGTCATACGAAGATTTTTTTAGTTACCCAGGCAATGGATATTAGTCAATCCCTGGGGGGAAAATGCTGACAAAATGCAGAGTCTTATGAACACCTTGAATACCAATCTTCAAATGTGTGGCATGTGATTCGCTCCTGTCAAATGTAAGATGATCTTACAGGAATAGACTGCACTGACTCCTAGCTTAAAGATAAAGAGTGAAGTGGTAGAGCGTGTTGAATACTTTACTTATTTGGGGAGTTGCACCAACTCCAACGGGTTAATCGCTGACGAAATCTCAGCTCGCATACAGAAGGCTTGTCTGGCATTTGCCAAATCACTTCATCTCTGATGTAGACTTGATATCGAATCAGTTATTGAGTTATAAAATCATTAGCATACACTACTAATGATGGATAATATTTCTCACTTCTGCCTTAGCTCGATACTGAAGATTAGGTTAGATAGACAGGAAGAATTGGCAACAAAAAATTCTGGGAACTAACCAACCAAGAATCTGTTACTCAACGAATATACTGAGGAAAATGGAGACAGATCGGACACATGTTGTTACCCTTGGGTGACATCGGGGAACGGAGAGTTGGGTGTCCAGGGTGACATGGAGGAGATCGTGTGGGAAGGAGGTGAAAACCTATGGGCAGTTGTGGAACCCGCTAAAGGGGATTGCAGAGAATAGGGCAAAAGGAGATGTGCTGTTGAAGTCCTATGTTCTCACTCAGAACGGATTATAATAATAATAATACTTCCCACTTACCTGTACTTTTCTATAATGTAAGCGATACCATCACTTATACTGGTTGAAAATTGTACTCGTGACTGTATAGCAATATTGATTATCTGTTTAGTTGTAAGTTTGCGTCGAAGTAGGTTTCCAGCAATGGTATACAACTGAAAGAGAAAAAGCAAAAAATTCACAATGTAGAATTCATGTACGGTTATTTAAAGGTTAATCCACGTTACAAGTGATCAGTAGACTCAGCTTCCGTTAGATTTAATGTTATTGTAACAAAGTGTTACCTGGTCTCTACTTTTATTAATGGCATTTATTAGATTGAATAGTTGGCTTGTCCTAATGATGATTATTTGGGTCTGAAATGTTCTGGAACATAATACTCAGTTACGTGCATATTTGAAGATCATATAGAATAGTCAGAACTCATTAACCACTTGATTTCAGCCTACTGAGTTAATAACGAAAAGTGCTTGTATCTAAATTTGAGAATTATAGAATCGATCTCTAATGGGCCTGTGTATATGCCATACTGAATAGTTGGAGACATTAATGAGATGACCATCTAATGCTCCCTGATTTTCATTGATTCTCTGACTAATACTGGTTCATGATGAAATTTACTATGGAGTGAACTGAAATCTTGCTTTTGCACAAACCCATGAGCACACAGCTGAATACTTTCCATCTGAATCTCTTTTCCATGATTATTTGTCCAATACCTCATTGGTGTAGATTAATGCCTATATTATATTCTATGGACCGAAATGATCTGAGTCCCTCAACTAATTTTACAGAATATTACAGCAATAGACAATGTGAACTTTTGCTTATTTGGTTGGTAAAACTTAGTACATGGTAGTTTATTGCCATTCCTTACTGGAACACAGAAAGTTTTTTTTCTATACATGTATCCTGTTTACGAAATATAGTTAGTCTGCAGTTACTTTTTTATAAAAAGTGAATAATGAGGTTAGTGTATGCTCTAACTACTAGCACTAAGCTAAGAAAATTCAGCTTTGTTAGATATCCTATTATTCACTTGGGCTTATGTTCATAAAATGACAGAGAGGCGATGAAATCTAGAAGTCTTACGGAGAAGAATAAGTGATGTCTAGAGATCTTAGCAGTATCCCGCTTTACTCATAAACCTTTTCTTATCAATCAAATATTTAAATTAAAGAGGAAAACGTGCATAATATCTGTCTCCTGTTACAGACGATTTATCCTATTATCAGATCCGTTAGAAGTAAGTATTCACCTGTTAGGCTTACTCTTTAGGAATCTAGTGACTCTCTACTGGAAAGGTGTTCCATATGAAAACAGATGTTGCATTCTTTGCCTTTGTTATTTTTATCCATTGTTATAATTGATAATACTCCTGACCTGTTGTTGTTATTGTGAATTTCAGACACACAAACATGAATTTACCGTCTGTTTTGTATAAATTACACGGAAACATTGTTCCATCGTTTGAATTTAGTCTCAACCACTTCATTAGGTCAATAACATTAACTGTCTCGGTCAAAATTCAAGCCATACTATCGGGCTTTAACGTGATATATATATATATATATGTATATACATTAGAGTAGAGCCAAAGATGAGCATCTAATTGAAAAGTAGATATTTCTTCGTTCAATCCTTCTGCTTTCTAAATGTTTAAGTGGTTTTATTTCTATTTTGAAATTCAAATTAAGGTGGGTGTACTATGGAGATCAAGGAGATTTTGTTTAGCCAAAGTACAAATAATACTCTAACACATAAACTCCTCGAAAAACTTTTGCTTCACGTCATTATTATTCTCAATGTGTCATAATAACTATATCTGCATTTTACTTCATTTGCATAGGTAGACTACTTATTAACTCGAATGCCTAGTTAATTCTAATTCATTTACATCCATCTCTTCGAATGATCAGATTCATTGAGATTATATTTGACATGTAAACAAACGATTAAGCCTATTTACTTATCTATGATTCATTCAGTGAAGGCAAAAAGAGAATGTAGAATGCTAACAAAGCCTGATAAACGTCATAACAAAAGTTTAAAATTGTATAATAAAAGTGTTTCTACTAATAAAGTTATGATTATAAGTGGAATTTGTAAAACATTTCGAATTCTTAAAAAACATGTTTTCTTTTTCTCAAGTCTTTCGTTTTTATAGAATTGACTATGTTTAAGAAGGCTAATCCAACAAATCGAACTTCAGCCAATCAGAAAACCACTTACCAAGAATCAATATCCCAATGATTTAACCGACAGTCTAATACTTCTGAACAGGAAACACGCATATAAATTTTTTTATCAAATCGTATTTGGATGTAAACAAGATGAAAAGTCAGCCTAGTATCAAAAGTAATAGCACAGTCGTTCCATATATATATATATATGCATATATATATCCAATGGTTTTAATTTAGAAACTGGGTTTGTTGGTGTGTCAAAGTTGTTTTTAGAATCGGTACACAATAGACAAACGTTTAAGCAGTTATTTTGTTTTCTCGATTAGTGAAACCATTTTGTATTACTGTTAGTGATTTTATTGTCAAATAGTCTTTATTATTAACCTACCTAGACTTGTGTAGAAAATGTTATTTAAACAATGCTTGGCACTGTGCCAGCATTTAGAATTTGTGCCCTTATGTTATTTAATCTGAATTTAATTTGTATTTTGTGTATTTTTAAACATGTTTGTCAACTAGATGAATCAGTAGTCATTGAACAGTTAACAGTTTGGTATTTCAATCGTCAGTTAGAATTTAAGATATGCCTTGTGTTAAATTGGCCAAAGAACTTGATTTCAAAGTCTTTTTTTTGTGATTAGTGATGTTCTGACCTGAACTGTTCGGTCACTACTCATACTATTAAAATGTGGTTGTGAGTAGTATACAGACAATCAAGACAAAAAACCGTCTCAATATTGGCCAATTACTTAAAGTAGTTACTTCCCTTTACATAATTTTTTGACAAATTAATATGTATGAAAATGTGAATTATCTGCAATGTGTAATTTATTGTGGTGAGTTAATTCTCCAACATAATTATATCATTTAAAAACTGCATTCACACGGACTGTAGTTAAACAAGTGAGCCAGAAAACCTAATGTATAATTGTATCATGACTTGTTTCATTCAACTTATTCTATTCTGGCCTATCATGCGAATCATTCTGGAATCAGTAGAAATGGATTTGGTGTGGGTTGTTGGAAATTTATTCGCTCTAACCACTTGATTTATAGCTTTTTCCAGCTATTTCCATTCTGTCTAGACAGTTATGAAGATTGTTTTCAACAGTTTTTACTCCTGTTAATTTTTATATGCTATGATGATTCAGTACCTGTTCCCGGTTTAACAGAGGTGCTACTAATGAACTGTTGATAGTTGTTCCATGTTATTTATACAGATTTATTACTATTTTGTTCCTTTAAGTCTCAAGTGGAAGAAAGGTCTTCAAGTCAGTGCTTTGAAGTTTCAGTAGCCGTGGTTCTATTTTAACGGGGTAGGGTTGCTAGCCTCACGCCTAACCTTACTTCTTTGACGGCCATACTACCAGTTTTAGTGAGGCTTAGGAATGCGTCGGCCGGAGATTGAACCTTGGGCCACGTGCGTGGTTAGCGAGAGTTCTACCGCTATGCCACCGACGCAAGTTATGTTACTTAATCCTTAGTAAATTGTAAACACGATTAAGTTTAACTCTGCCATGAAAGCATGGGTGCGTAGCGCTGAAGACTTCAGAACTGGAACGAAACGGCTATCCAGTATAACGGGGGTTTCAATAGTTCTATAACTGATGTCAGCTCATCACAGATTTCTTACTACTGAGAATTCACAGTATGCAAAAAATATAAATAAATGTTATAGATGAAGACTCATTTACACTTTTAACCCCGTGGAGATTACAGTTTGCTCTTGTTCATTGGAATATAGGATGGACTTCAGCTAACCCACTTGAGTCTATATAACCACGTTTGCAGTCATTTCATTTGTGTGGTCAGCTGCAACACGAATAACTTGGGTAGTGGGCGACAGGTTCACATATCGATGAGAAAATCAGGTGAGATTACTGGCTATCTCAAATACCTGCTATAGCAGCATGAGTATCAAAACATATATTTGCATTAATAACAATAATATTGTACACTAGTGTTAGAGTAACTTACCACTCCATCATCTTTTGAGTATAATATAATTATTTTACCAGATTCTGAATGACAGTGAGACGGTAGGTTCCATTTATTAAATAGGTAGTAGGAGAATATTGCAGCATAACTCAACAGCCTGTCTTTATCCATATTACTAGAATAAAATGAGTTTAAGAGAAGAAACTTATAAGATAAACGGCATAAAGTTTTATTCATTGACTCATTGTCCTATAAAATCTACGAGATTGTGTAAGTTAAACAGTTATGGTTTTCTAGCTAACTAAAAACTCTTTTTGCCGATAAATACACTCCACTTTCCCGCATTTTAGTGATTCCGCCAGGCAGAAATCTTTTAAGTCAAATTCGACTACTGCTGAACAACCACTGTTCAAAGAAGAGTATTTGTGACATACAACAATTTCGAGAAACTCTGCAAGTTAATAGAAGTAAAAATCCACTATCATTACTCAACCTGGACATTGCGAATATTTAGGAAAAGTCGAAGCACGTGTTATTCCAACTTTGTTTTCAGTTATAATTTTCCGTTTGGTAATTGACTGATTACTGTTGGCGTAATACTGAGTAATCTGATTACAACTCGCCAACAATACTTCTCTGTCATTTAAAAGTTATCTTGGTCTTATTGGTTTGACTAGTCCATCTTTTTAGTGTCTAATAAACGTATGTCTGATTTAGTAAATTCTGTTTCTGTATGCCTTCTCCCACTGAACAAATGACAGAAAAAAATTCACAAAGAACAAATTCATCATGATCCCAGAAGCGTCTTTCCTAATCTAAGATATAAGGAGAAGGAGAAATAACATCGGTTAAAATCAGTGAGTTTCTGAAACTCTCCTCTTAATAAATGGCATGAAAATTATTTACAAAAGTATGATGCTTCCGATGGGGAAGCACGTTGCACTCTTCTCACAATGTTTTTGTTTTGCTGAGCGCAGACAATGTTCAGGTGGTCATTATGGTGTAGCGTTTAAAGTGTATATTATAAAATCGTGCGTTTCTCAATAATTACTTGGTAAACTTTTCATCTCCCAACCACACAAACTAAATAATCGAGATGGAATTGCCACCAATAATTCCAAAGGTATTGCTTTCGATTCTAGATTAACGTGAACAATGCGAGTAGCCATTGTGTATCCTCCCGGAAAATTCTAAGTATCATAAATTCACTGCTAAAAATTTTTCCAAATAGATTATTTTATGAAAAAAGGCCAAAAACAAACAAACAAAATCACTCTCGACTTTTGCTTTACAACTTGTACAGTTATTTATGAACACTGCGTCATTTGATGTCTAATTGCCAGAGCTGTGAGCAGACTTTGAAGACACAACTACAATTGTGTTATAATACAGTGAATGTAATTTTCCAACTTACTACTGTGGTGTACTAATGCACCAGGTAGATTTTGAATTACCTCACTGAATTTATCGAAATGTGAGTAGATTTCTTTCATTGGTGTAAGTCCATAACTGCACAGGCATATCACAAACACTTAACCGGATATTCCAACATCTGGGACAGGTGAATCGTAATGTTGAAAACGGTAAAATGTAGTCATAAGAGTATAAACAATTAACTAGTTATGTGTCTTTTCAGTCGACCAAGGAACATTCTTCAAAATTCTGTGGTCTAATGACACTATCAGCTTCTCAGACTAAAGTATGTGCACTGAGCTTTAAGAATAACAAGATAAATCTGACTTTGCTGCCGTTGTTGTCGTTGTTGTTGTTGTTGTTAAATTTAGCTTCAAATAGCCCCCAGGGATTAAGGAAAACTCTCGTCTTTTATTGGAATCAGCCTGCAGATAGAGTCATTCAAAGGAAATAAATTAAATCATCACAAATGGCAAATTTCTCTAAAAAACTTACTCAACTTCTACCTTTTTAACTATTGCTACGCCTATTACAGGTCGTGGGTTATTTACATCACAGCTGGGTTTATCGAAATTCACTGATGTTTTGATGTGATGTAGCTTGGCATTTAACATATTGACTGAAAAATATGTGCAGAAAAAATATACAATTTTAACGAGGTATAAAGTTTGATAATAAGATTAATAATAATGCATTTCTTATTCTGATTATTTACACCCATCGGTTAAATGCAGACGATCGTGGTGAAGTTACGTTAAACTGTGATTAGTTGACCAAGAAATTTCCTACTGCCTAAAACTCAGATTGATTTTAGACTTACTCTGCACCGTCTTAATAATAATACTGTGATTTTAAGAGTTAACTTGCAGGAATTTGACTTCTCTCAGGTTTGGTTACGAACTGATGTCAATTAGACAACCGTTAACAACAAAGGAGCACTGGACAGCTCTGTTTAGCCCTAGCCTGTTCTCTCCATCAGTACTAACCCGATATCCCAAAAGTGATAGGACGCAGAATCAGACGGGGAAGTATGAAAGCCGCAAAATGTTTCTTTTCGAATTTCCATACCGCTTGAAGTTTATCTACTCTAATGAAAATGTACAGATTAAACAAAACTTTCGTGACGCACATAAATCTTACTTATTAGTAGTGTGAAAACTAAGTTAAAAGTTTGTCATAAATGTCATTCTCTAACTTTTGTAAAACTGCAATAGCCATTATTTCAAAACCAAGTGTAGTTGATCAACTAATTTGTGTTAATTAGTGGAATAATATAACCAGTTTTCTTAAACCATGAGTGAATGAGGTTCATTACTGTTAATGAAACTCAGTATGCCACCTTGGCTCCAATCGGTTATTAAGGTTTTAGCCATAAGTCTAGAAAAACTTAACACAGTAGTCAGTTTGAATACTGAACTGATCAAATCACACATCGTGATGATCATAATACTTAGTGAAGGAAACCAGGCAGTCCTAAAATTCGCATATCGTCAGATAGCAACAAATGAAGCACTGTTTAGGAGAATTTAAACCGCACAAAGAGGATAGATGTAGGTCAGACAAGTTTCAAAGGAAACTTGAATGGTTCTTAGCCTGGAAAAATGAGAGCTAAGGTAAGGTTTGTGAATAGACATAGATATATGTAGATAAGTAATCCCTTCAGTACTTATATTTATTAGCAGTTTCCCAGAGTAGTCTCTTAATATTGATTTCTATCATATGTCAACTAAGTAATTCACATAGCGGACAAGTAACTTTCAAATGTCTTGTAGCATTGAAAGCTCTTATTCAGACACATGTGACTATTCATTATATTGAACTGTATCTTCCTTATACAAACAACAGCACACATTCGGTGTATGCCATTATTTCATCTAGTCTTGCCAATCTGTTGTTTTCGTAATTTAGATTAAACCTGATCTACATACCACACATCTTAATGTTACTTCTTTGATGAATATTACCAATGTATTTTTCTTTTAATAACCGGCCTCCGTTCAGTATCGATTAACTCATTTATTTGCTTAAATTATAAATATTGATCATTTTATGGCATATAATTAAATATTTCAGGGGATGGATGTGAATAAATTAAAACTGAATTATTCTATCATCACATTGAATTGTTATAATTTAGGCTATTTAGTGTTTTGCATATCAGCACCACATGATGTGCATTATGTGTGACTGGGATGTCTAATGTAAACAAAATAATTCACAAGTTAAGATTCAATTACTTACTGTTTAAAATTAAATTCTATTCGAAATAATAAATTATATTAAATAGTTAACAGTCTTCGCAATAAAATGCTAACTTTATACGTCAGTTCACTTGTAATATTTAATAGTGACAGTAACGGTATTATGTTGTTGTAACTAATTTACGCATACAGTTATCTACAATGCTTTTCCTTCATAAGTTCCATTTTGGGTTAATTAACTGCGTATGTTGAAGTCGAAAAATGTCAGTTAGTATCATATACCGAAATATCAATTCTGGATAATTAAATTTCAATATTCAGTTTATATTGGAAGACATTGTTGAGTTTGACGTCAAGAAAATTGGAACCAGTCATATTGTTTTATTTAAATACTATACAATATCACTCAGCTTACGGTGGATTCAGTGGTCTTAGTATTCATATGTAAGAAATTAGATCATGTGGTTAAACTCTGTCTGACTGATGAAACGTACAAGTAGAGAAACTAGAATGTAGTGTGGGAGTGACTCGAAATACTTGTACTTCACTCGTAATTTTATTACAGACTGAACTTATCTCCATTGAATTCAAATTGTGACGATAGGTAGAAAGGTAATCACTGTATTACATAATGCCTAGAAGCAAGACAGTGTTTATAAAATAGCTGTGAAGTATCAATGCTAATAGAAGAAATACCGCTTTTTTTGCATTTTCTTCCATTGCTAATGGTCACATTTGGGATCTATCAAATTACTCAATATAAAGAAATTCCCTACAAAGTTAGCGTATCTAGAGTCAATCAATTGATATATATAAGTAGGTAATGAGGAGGGTTATAGACTGTTGTCACTAGATGATGATTGGTCTATGCCTCGCCTTCGCACAAGATAGGGAATTTAAACTATTGCCTTTTGCATGGAGTGGATTCATTTTGTTTGAGTGGATAGAAAAAAGGTGTTTTTCAAGTTGTCATTTATTCGTAAACGACACTCATTTTCATGATGGATACATTTTGCAGTATGTGAAATAAACTGATGGTGAAACAAAGTACAGATACAAGCAAACTGTTAACAGACAATCGAATAAAAATCCTAGTTATATCTTCTATTAAATGACATCATCGTTACTGTGTAAAAACAGAAGACGAGACACGAAAGCCAAGGTAGATTTTTCATTAATCAAACCGCTGTTTATATATCTACAGTTTATATTCGTTAACCAATCACTGAGCGTGTGATTTTGGTTTACACTAAACGACATGAAAGATAGAATGTTCAAAATATTTCGTTGTAAATGCAGTATATAACCATGGGAAAGTATTCTATCTCTAATATCAAATAGAATGTTCAAATAGATATATCGTATTCTTTTACTAACGCAGTCTGAACTTTGGAAATATGTGACAGTAATATATTCCGTTGGAACACATTGCCTGTATCACTTCACCACAATTGCAAACCAAAAATCATCTAATTTCCTATATGATGGAGAATTATTTCTTACTTTTGTTTACCATAGCCTTTTCCTTTAACACTTAGACTACCCATCCAGTTTTTATACGATCGACATACTGAATAACAGGTGAGATCGGTCAGTCTGCTTTAATCATGTGTTTCCTTTCTGTGTTCACTTTTTGTGAAAGTGCTGTTAGTAGTGTATTGATGAACAGCATGATCAACTTGTGCATAGAGAAAACCTTAACCAGCTGGCACCTACAGCTGGGGTAATAATTTTTCTTTTCAAGAAAAAAGTGACTGAACAATAAATGGTTACAGTAAGTGCTTATGCTATCTTAATGTGTTACAGATTTTTATGAATTGCCATAAATTTTCAAGCAGAAAATTATGTCATGACAAAGCCAAATAATTTCATTCTCATTAAAAACTGAAAATTAATCCCAGTAGGGAAAAAGAAAGTTGAAATATGTTGTGTTTTTTTGGTGTTATGATAAATGACACATTTTGACCGAGTGGTCGGTCAGGGTGAAAAATATCACAGCATAATGCAAGAAATTATGGTTAATAATGATTTATGAAGTAAATTCCCAGATCACCCGCCTTTTTTCTCTTTAAAGAAACAGATTTTACTGACTGCTTAGGGTAAATATGAACTAATGAGGACTGAGTTATCAGATGTTTGTTTGCAGGGATTAACCGGTTTCGTCTCAGTTTCGGGCTCTTCAGAGTACGTACCCTCCAAGGTTCGAATCTCCAGGAGCTTCATGTTACAAGGCGGGCCTGTAGACTATTCAGCCAGTGGGACCCTATTCAACGGCCAATGAATTCCAGCTTCAGTCCATTCACTATAACTAGCGAAGCCTCTAACCAATGTTGTAGGCGAGTAATTGTTCTCTTACTTCACTTGGCGGACCCCACTGGTTACGACTCCTCACTACAACTCCAGATAACCTCTAGCATAGGATGAGTTTTTTTGTTTTCATTATCAAGCATACAAGTAATAGACCTATAAGCGAAAATTTCAGTGTCCAAGAGATCATTAATCAAACAGCAACTTTTCAGATAGACAAAACAAAACGCAATAAGCTGTGGAAGGAAATCTGCTTATTTGAGAAAGGAAAGTACAATGATTTTGGTAAGCACAGTAAGCCTAACTTTATTTCTTGTGAAATGATGAATAATTATTGTGGGAAATATGATCTAATTCCGTGAGATGTATCACTTTTCAGAAGAATAATCCGCTTAAAAATCTCCTTTCGTCATAATCACCCAGTAAAGGATATAGTCAAATCAAGTTTACATAAACACATGTGTATTACAGAATAAAACTGTATCTACGACTAGGAATGTTAACAACTATACTTTTAACTTCGAATCATCTTAGCTAAATTTATCCCATGAAAGGTGAATCAACCTTTTTAAAAACTAGCTTGTGCTGATTTCATTTTTCAGTGGCTGTAATGCCAATGAGGATATCTGTGAAAATTGTTATTTATTACGAAGTTCGTTTAAATCTCTCTCTCGTAACTTTTATCTTTAGAAGTTTTGTCCAACCGAATTCATTAAGCGTCAGGAAGTGAAAAAAAAACCAATAGCTATAACAACAACATAATAATGCTAATAGCAATAATCATAATAACAACAGAAATCGATTGTTCGATGTGGTATGATTCATAAAATAACAAGGTTATTCAATTAAAGGTGATTGGAGGATAGTGTTTGTTATTATATGATGCATTTATTCGCCAATAAAATAAGGGAATATGTTAACATTCCTAAAAAGTTATTTTGACTGACATAGTGAACATAATCGTCAACTGGTAGATTGCGGTTGTTTGCTAATTTGTCTGACCTAAAATAAAGGTTTACGTATATATATATATATTGTAGATACCTAGTGGGTATTTTTAACTTGGTCTCCAATTGATTTTTTTTCTGACCTTATTTCTATTTGCCTAGTCTGTTTATTCTCTCGTCTGCCTCTCTATCTATCTATCTATCCTGTCTACCCGTTAACTCGTCTGCTTACCTAGATTGTTTTGTTTTATCAAGTGAGAGATATGGTTCATTTGGCCTGGATGATTCACAATACTTTCTTTGTAGTCAGTCCTCAAGTGCTACTAAATGAATGGTGGCGTTAATTCATAGTCAGCTAATGTTAGCTCGTGTAATTATTTCTCGTTTCTGTTGTTAATAGATAAAAATCTCTGTTTCTTCATCATCCTAATGACAATCCTTCACACACCTGTAAAATATCAACAGCCGCTGTCAGCTAACATGGATGGGTAATTACGTAGGTAGGTAGGTGGGTGGCATAGTTCAAATTAAAAGTTGGAGGAATTTAGTAAAACTGTTAAATGTTGAAGTAGTGTGAGAGGACTTAAAACAGCTTTACACTACCACCACTACTATTACTATCACTTGAGATAAAAGCCACTTCGGAATCACCATGTTCTCTCTCCACTAAGTATTCAGTTGCCTTTTGTTCTTAGTTAAGTCGAACAGCTGAGAAGAGTTGCAATTCAGAGTGATAATAACTGTCAGCTAGTGTTTCCTTTACTGTAATTAGTTTGAATGAGGTTGTTTGAGTCGATTACGACTATTCAAGCTCTCGAAGATTTCTAACCACTAAAATGACCAATCGTGTGGCATTGACAACTTTTAGAATCCATTCTTTCTTAAACTATGTGTATCAAGTTTTCGTTAGCCAAATAGCCTACTGGTTTACTGAAGATAATGTACAGTGATCCTGCTGAATGATGTGTTACATCGATGACAAGCGGAAACAGAAGTTATTTCAGAGTGCCCTTTTTCTTTTTGACAGTTTCTTTATTAGAATAGTCCTTCCATTACTTTTTCTTAGCAAGGTACTCTACTGTTGTCACTGGCTGATGTATGCATTATGGTAGTACAGTGTAGCAGTTAAACTGTTGTTGATAAATTTCATTTCTGGCTATATGTATGCTGGAAAAAGAGCTCAAGTTCCTGACTTCTTGACTCTAAGTCTTATTTTCTAGCAATTCTAAGCCAACAGGACAAGGCGTTAACAACACTTAGATTGCCTTTCAATGATCAGTTGTTTTGTGAAGTGAATTTTTCAGTTAAACTAGCGGAATTGGCAAGTTGTAAGACACGCTGTAGTTTTTAGAGATTTCAATTTCACTGAATAACGCTTAATTAAGGCATTTCTAAAGATGGCGTGATCGAATGCTTTTTTAAAAAAAATGTTTAGGTTGACTTCTTTAACTAGCACTACTCAGCTACAAAAACTAAGTGGTAAACTCAGTCTGAGAATTGAGCAGAAATGTCAGACTTCAAAATTAACGATCTTTTCTACTGGTTCAAAACAATTTATATCGATCAGTCTTTGTGAGAACAGAGAAAGTAGTTTCTTTGTACCAGGAATTTTTTTGTTGGCCTTTCAAAACAACAGCATAATTTGTCCATAGTCTTTTTTTGTGTGTGTGTGTGTGGGTGTTTGCGTGATTCTAACGACATGATTCTGTATTTATCGTACATTAAAATGTCTTCTTCTGCTTGCTTGTTGTTTCTGATGTTGATGATGACGATGCAAACAACTGGTCACACGCACATTGCATGCCTATGATTTTTCAGACAATTTCGGAAGAAGAGAATTTTTTTAATGATGCATCGCTTGCATGAGCAAACATTGGCGCAACAACAACTACTATATTATTAGTACTAATCATACGCTTGCCTAATTAAGGAAAATGAAGCATGTTATCGTGATTTGCATGAATTTTTCTATTTTATCAAAAAATGGCTTCGTTTGGCTATATAATGGTTTCTTACCTTGTGATGTGATTTTTGACATTAAATAGGTCATCTTGTCGTTCATTAACATATACTGTTATATATATATATATATATGATACAGGGCTTCGTTTGATTCACGATAGAAAAAAGCGATTCCTTGTTTTAATGATTAAATTGTTAGATTATTTAACCTTACTGACTTTCATTTGTTAAGTTGTAAAATTGGATTTTTAGATGAAGCGTATTTGGCTATGCAGAAGATAATGTGTTTTAATCATGAACTATAGCGTACTGAATTACTGTGACTAACACAAGTGACGTTAGCCAGTCAAAGTGGATTGGTTGTTGTTCATCAAAGACAGTGTGGATAGTAATAGTCCTTATACAATGAGCTTCAACTTAGTTTCTGATTGAAAACTTGCTTTTTTTTATAGGAATGTTAGTCCATGGCACAATTTTGCATAGAGTTGTAAAAAAGTGCATCTCAACAAAGAAGAAAATATAACGGTCTGCTTCTCTCACTGAAACAAAATATCATCAGTGTAAATTAGTCTGAAACAGCTTAATCCGAGATAAATTTCATACGTGAACTGTATAGTAATATAAAATATATTTACAGTAATACACTATCAAAACAGAACTGATTAGAATTGTATAAGTGACAAAAGTTCACCCTATTGAAATTTTGAAATGGTCACACTTTACTTCATTGGAATTATTGTCAGTAAAGAATTAATACAGTTTTGCGTGATAATAGTGCGTCGGTGGCACAGTGGTTAAGGCGCTCGCCGACCAAGCACATGGTCCGGGGTTCGATCCCCGGCCGACGCACTCCTTTACCTCCCTAAGCCAGAAATAATGCGTGATGATAATGCGTGATAATAAGGGCCAACGGAACTGGTTGTAAATCATCATATATATTTTTACATACTTGGAGTTTATATTTACTCAGTGAAGCAATTTCCCCTGTGACCTTAATTAAGGTAACAGTTAGAAATTTATAGCTTGCTTTATAGAGTTGTTGAAAACAACTCATCTAATCCTCATTTCCTTTGTCCTTACTCCTCATCTAATTATTTAGCGTAATTAATGACCTTTGTCATTGTTTCGTAAATGTGAATGAAGGCATAAATTTTATAACCGACTTTTAGAAACCTAATTTCTACTGCTTGCTAGATTAACGCGACATCATTAAGTTTAGACAGCCCTTTCTCACACAAAGAAGTGATAGTGTGTTGATCTGTTTTATTATCTGATAGGGAAAAAAAAATAAAGTGTCAGTCTTTTCAGGGCAATAATTTACCAGCTTTTGTATAAGTATGTGCGGATGTGTGTGTGTGTGTGCAGTGTCTCTCAGTAATATTAAATTAACAGGTGACTGGAATACAGAATAAATCATCAGTTTCCTGCTCAAAATTATTTAAAGTTAACAAAGAAAAAAAAGACCATCACAGGAAGGATATTTAAAAAAAAAAGAAGTCTAACTGACCTAAATGTATTCACAAGAATTTTAATATATCACATCAAATAGCTTAGAATGAACTATCTGACTGTTTAAATGACAGTTTAATCAACTCTTCAGAATATATTTTGCTGAGGCATATATATATATATATATATATATATATATATATATATATGTAAACTCAGTCTTATCGATTTGAATGGTCTGTGCAGATATGAAGAAGTTGATATTTCTAGTGACTTTCCACCTAATTGTGTGTAGTGACCATTTAATTTAAAGATGAAAACTGGTTTTCGATCTGATCAACCGCTTTTGATTTTCATAAAAATCACAAGGGTATGGAGATTATTTTTCAGGTTATCGATACTAGAAGTTATTCAGTGAAACTAACAACAACACAAACTACGTGCGATACAGAATAAAAAGTGAAAAACTAAGTAATACAGTGCACACATTCTACTCCATTTGAAATATGATATGTGCTTTTGTACTGATTAGCTTTTTTTTAGAAAAATAAAAGCACCTCAACAACCTGTATTTTATGCATGTGAACTATTTAGCCATAAAATAATAACATCTGGTAGGGAGTAGTTTTATTAGTGTATGAAGAAAACTCATATTTTAGTTGAGAGGTGTTTAGACCAATGAAATACTTAAAAACTTCGAAGAATTCACTTTCAAAACTGTATTTCTGCAATATAATTATCTTTAACTAGGATTCCATTTCATAAGATATGTTAGGTCCTTCGATGGCTTATATAATGTAGGTAAATTGATGAAAATATTTTTGACATTTAAGAGAAACACAATGAAATATTTACTTGATACTTATTCCAATTATGTGTGATATTGGTAACTAAGATAGGTTCTTTGGGAAAGTATTAAATTAAGTACAAAAAGATTGGATATTGACTTTGGAATACCAATATAATCAACAGTGTTTATTCGTTATGAAGGTAGAGAATACGACACATTAATTATGTCCATAACTTCAATGAACTTAAAGAGTGTTATATGAGAACAAACTTGAGCATTTCTAACTGAACATGGATATGTTAACTAAACACTGTTCCAGTCTTATGCATGGGCCAGTGCTACTGCTCAACGAGGTATTGTTAATTAGTCGAATGTGACCTGAGTCTTACAATAATTGTACATACTAGAAAGTAGATTCTATGTAAATTTTAATAGTTCATTCGTTGAAAAACAATTCTTTGCCGAGTTTATAAGATAAGTCGACTGATTGGGGGTAGAATAGTTGCTTTACAAGCTATCAGTATTAAATGCCTAATTAAGCTAGAAAGCAGTCTAACATATTCCCGCATTGTTTGTCAGTTTTATTGTGTGACAAGAAAACAGAATCTTAGGATAATATATTACAAACAGAAATATTTACTCAAGACTAATAAATCACTTACTTTGTGAGACAGACAATAAACCAGCTGGATCGCATACAAGTGTACTAGAATATTCATAATTTCCTTGTTGTGGTAAACATTGTTCCTTGGATTGTATTATATCTGGATAATTCTTCACTTGAGCTTCATATTCTTCTGGAAGACTACTGGCCAATCCTTGTGTAATAATATAAGTCAAAGCGAAACTGAACACGGTAAAATAATTCATTGAAAATGTATGCCTGTAGATAATGAATTTATACGCAGTTGTAATGGCCGGTGAAATGTGAAACTAAGCAGGATACAGTTGTTGTAGGCAAGCTCTTACAATAATATACTATGCTGTAAAGCTCAGTTACATATATTTATAGGCACTTAAATATATTATGTGTACAAGTCTATATAACGCCAAGCCAAAAATATTCAACTTTGAAACACGAATTCATATATATATATATATATATATATATGAATGTATATTATAAGTGAAACTTTATCTCAGACCATCTTTACAGTTGTATTGTTGAAAATGGGTGAATAGGGGTAGCTGTTAACAGTAACAATCATAATAATAATAATAATAATCATGGCACTAATAGATTACCTTATTTTTAGTGCACTATTGTTTATATAACCGATTTCTGAAAACTCGAACATTCAGTGTATTTGTGTGTGCATGCGCATACGTAAATACTTAGGTCATTACTACACATTCATTATTTCATTGTCAATAAAAATTAAATAATATTAACTGAATGGAGCTAAATAAGAATTTATTTTTTGTCTTTATTAAATACAAAAATGGTTAAATAATATAAATTAAGTTAAACTAAGCTAATACTATTATTATTATTATTATTATTATTATTATTAGTATTGATAATAATAATAACTCTTACTTCATCCTTAGTGTTCAACCTAGTTATCACTAACCGACCAGTTATTTGATATTTGTATTTCTTTTCGAATGATAATCACCTAACTATCATAGATAGAAAGAATAGAGTGTTTTGAAAATGTTTTGTGAATTATCGGTTATAGCCACCTTGTTTGCATAAAATAACAGTAGTAGTAGTTGTTGTTGTTGTTATTCGTTCCTTTATTTATTCTATTATTCACTCGAATGTATGGCGTTTATCTGACGGTTAAACAGTCATAATTTGGATTAGATGATGGGTTCGATGCAGACGCACACAAACGTACAAAAGATACAAGTACACACATACACTTGCACACTATCATAAAGATTGTAGCATGCAGTGCACAATTTGCAATCATGCAATTGAAATTACCAACAGAAATAATCAGTAATGTAAAACACCTTTTGATTTGAAAGGTATTTATTGCTTATCTATTTTGTAAGCATAGAAACTCTTGTTTCATGCATTCAAAAAATGAGTATGAAGTTTGAAACAAGTGAAATTCTCATCAGTATTAAGTCTGCTCTTATTGGTATATATATATATTGCAATGCTTTATAAATAGATGAGCAGTTGGCGCGTAATAAAAATACTCCAGGGCAAAGATGTTTCTTTTCGACAGGTTTTAATTTCTATCCTTTTAAAAATAAACTATAAATCGACAGAATGCAGTTCACAAGAGTATAAAACTGCAGACACAAGATTTAAAGTATAATATGATCAATTTTATAATATACATTCTTTCTTATTCAAGTGTTGGTTTGTAGGGATTTGATTGGTTACAGGATTTTCATCATGAGCTGACATTAGTTAGAGATCCATTGGAAAACCTGGGAGTACTGGACAGCTGTTTCGTCCTAGTTACAAGGCGAGCTCCTATACGATTAAGCCACTGGGACCCGACCCAATGGCCCATGAATTCTAACTTCTGCCAATTCACGACATAGCGCGACCCCTAGCCAATGTCTTCGGCAAGTATTTGTCCTCGCACCCGACCTGCTGCACCCTACTGGTCACGACTTCTCACTAGAACCCCAGGCAACTACCTACCTGAATAGGTCCTGGGTTCGAATCCCGGTGGGTGCGTACTGATGAAGAGTCCCAAACTAGGACGAAACAGCTGTCCAGTACTCCCAGGTTTTCCAATGGTTCTCTAACTAATGTCAGCTCATGATGAAAATGCTGTAATATACATTCTTGTCAGCTGAATAGATCAACTTTACTTTTCGAAGGTACTTACATGCAGTGATTTGCTTTGATAAACTGGTGGAAATCAAGGAGGAAAAAATTGAGCATGATAGACCTGTACAATTTTCTGAATAGAAATTGTAAGCTAATTCTTAAGTGGTAATCATAGGAATAATATTTTCAACTCTAACTGGACCAGTAGTCAGTGTGATCTTGCACAGTGGTATACGAGTCTGTACTGTGTCTTTTTTTAATCAAAAAGTGTATCTGTTTCTCGCACTTGTATGCCTGGCCCACTATCAATAGACCTTATTATGGTATATTTCGAAAGACTGTGGAATTAATTATAAATTCATATCGAGCAAGTATAACCTAGAAAAAAGTTACAGAAAAATGGCTTACATTAAAAAGAAAAACACCAACACACCTTTATCTTCGAATAAAATAAAGCAAACAAGTATTATCGTGCACAGAACATACTGTCAAACATCAATTCTTCAAGAGGACAATATGACATATCAACAAATATGGAATATACAATTGTCCTAATTTTCTATAAAATTACTTACTGAACAACAGGTTACCATTGTCAGTATTTCCTTTACCTTTCTCTTCTATTCACTCTGTGGGTTGTTTCACATTGTATGGGAAAATTTGAGCCAGTAGAAAGTGAAATTTCAAATCAACAGTTAATTGCAACACTGTTATAAGAAGAAAAAAACAAAGTTAGGAAATAATAATTTTACCTTGTTAGAAGTTTCCCTGTTGAATTTATTCGAAAAGTTATTATTATTGATCAGTAAGCATAATAATCTGAGAACAATAATCTTAGTATATATATTCATGCGGTACAGTAAATAATGGTATTTCCCAAAAATGTAATATGCATATATATATTTTAAAATGTTGAAGGAATATTAGAAATAATGTAAATGTAGAACTTGGGCACTGTGGTAGAATGTAATCCCATATTAGATAAGTTTGTTTAAAATATCACACAGCGATGAAGTATTAACAACTGGATAAATTATTGCTATTACTCATATCAATACCATAAGTAGTAAACATTATCGTTCCATGCTCATTTTCCGAAAGATTCTGCGGTTTTCAATCCATTCAGTTGCCTACTTCAGTGTATATCACAAAAGCTTAAAGCAATATCGTTGTGTAAAATTATGCCTTTATCTGTGGAAAAAGTCAGTGCATTACTGAATGTTTAGTGCACGAGACGAGTAGCTGTATGTTTATTTAGTTAGAATTATGTTTAATGTTTCCAGTTTTAAATAGTCAGGTACAAATATTCCCCATATTCTGTGACATTAGTGGTTGACTGTATTATTTAACATGTGCATGTGTACCATTTTGCTCGATAGCTGATTTTTAACTCCAATACGAATTCATTAGGATATACTACTGATGAACCTCACCTAGATTACTAGCTCACTAGTTTTCTAGCCGGTCCCAAGCCCGGATAAAGAGGGAGGGTTGGGACGTGGTGCTAGCAACTCCACCCCTAAAACTTAACCAAATCGCTACAGAAACTTCAACGCACAAATACCAAATTGCAACTCTACGCATCATCATCGAACAAAGCATGGAATGGCAATCAAACCTCTACCTCAACTTTATAGACTTTGAGAAGGCTTTCGACAGCGTTGAACGCGAATTAATTTGGAAATTACTCAAGTACTACGGCGTACCCCAAATATTCACCAACCTTATTCAACAGCTGTACGACAACGGCACATGTCAAGTGATCCGCAACGGAAAACTCAGCGAGGCGTTTGGAGTAAACACAGGAGTCAGACAAGGGTGCTTATTATCACCAATGATATTCCTAATTGTGGTGGACTGGATTATGCGTCAGACAGTGGGAAACAAGAAGACAGGGATATCCTGGACTGATGTGAAGAATCTGGAAGACCTGGATTTCGTGGATGATTTATGTTTGATTTCACACAAAATTGAAGACTAACAAGCGAAAACCGACAAACTGGTCGAAGAAGCAGCAAAGACAGGACTTCAGGTGAACATAGGCAAGACGGAGGTTATGAAGATAACCAACCAACCAACCAACAACAACAATAGCAACATCCAATGCCAATCACCATCAATGGGAGGGATTTGAAAGAGGTTACTTCTTTCACTTATCTAGGGAGCATTGTGTCAACTACAGGACGAACGGACGAGGATATCAAATCGAGAATCGGGAAGGTGAGAAACACATTCATCAACCTGAAAACAATCTGGAAATCTTCGTCACTCAGCATCAACAACAAAATTCGGATTTTCAATACAAATGTCAAGTCAGTTCTTCTATACGGATCAGAAACTTGGCGGGTCACCAAGAATATTTCCAACAGCCTGTTGCAGACCCTTATCAACAGCTGTCTTCGTTCTATACTGAAGATCAGATGGCCGGAAAGAATCACAAACAAGAAACTATGAGAACAAACAAAACAAGAACCAATCGCTCAACAAATATGCAGTAGAAAGTGGAGATGGATTGGACACTCGCTGAGGAGGCCTCTGGGTGACATCGCGCGTCAGGCCAACGCTCGAGTGGAACCCGAAAGCGAAGGGGCGAGTGGGACGTCCAAGGGTGACATGGAGGAGATCGTGTGAAGAGGAGTTGAAGCAGTATGGACTAACATGGATGCAGGTGAAAAGTACAGCAGAAGACAGAAGCAAGTGGTGACGTGCAGTTGAAGCCCTATGTTCCACTAGGAACCCAAGGGAACAATAACAATAATAATACTGATGAACTCAGACTCTAATAAGAGATAAGACTGTTTAATGTTGATATTACATCGATTTGACTCGCAAAGACTACTATTCGACATGAGTAGTTCTAAACTGCTCATATCCATCAGTAGTATGTATCTTCAGTTATCTGTATATAAAACATCCATGAAATCTATTTGAATTTTAAGGAGCCTTATCCTAGTATATATATATATATATATATATATATATATATTAAAGACTATTTGACTGTAAAAACTCAATGAGAAGTTGGTAAAAGGATATTCTTCGCTGACCAATGTCATTTTAACACATGCCTAATTAATAGTCTAATTATACAAATACAGGTCATCTCTTATCACTATTAACAATTTTA